AAATGGCGTTCCAATTGCGATGGTTTTTGGCTGCATGCGTTACCCGTCGCGTCCCCAATCATCTTGTCGGCAGCTTTCCTTATTCCCCATTCTCCCGGTCAAGTCAGCCCAATTGCACCGGTTGCAGGTTTACGGCAGAGCTACTGCATTCGTACGATTACGCCTTCCATGTGGCATGAACCCAGGACTCGGGTTCTCGATAGACATGGGCATGGCACCAAATACGGCATCTCCCTCGCGGTACCAATATTCAGGATTGGCTCACACCACCGCCTAGTGAGCGAGCTTTACTGGTCAAACTACCATTCCATGATGACATGAAGCGGTCACCATTACTGCACGTAGCTCTTCCGGTTTGCTGCTCAACACCAACGACTGACCTCAGCTGTTGCGCTGATACAGACGTTCCGCGACGCTCCGCGCGGCCCATCCATACACCAAGCAGACTACGGCCCGTCTCACGCGCGCAACATACCACAAGCCTTGCTCGACTCCGCAACACAGTCAGCACGCGAACATCGGTACACCTAGCATGGCCGAACATGTGTAGCATGCGTGGTAGAGGCGACGGTCGCTCTTATCTCTCCTGCATCACCACTCATCCCCACCCTTAGTAACCCAACCTTTCCACTGCACAGTCAGCGCGCTCACTCCGGCACACCTAAGAATGGTCGAACATGTGTTCCCGCGACGCGCGCGCACATCCATGATACAGCGCCATCGCGCTGAGTAACGTAACTTGCTTGCTTGCTTATTTTTGGTTCGGCGTGCTTCGGGTAAAAGCAAGCATGCAGTACTGTGCGACCGGCATCCCGTAAACCAAGGCGCCGGGTAGACAGGCGCGTGAGATGAGCCGGTCTGACCAACATTGTTCTGGAATGCTTGAGGCGGCGATGTGGTACTCAGCCTTATGGTGTTGGTAAGCGTGCGTTTTAATGGTAAGGGTGGGTTGATATGTGGAAAGGACGTAGGCATCGGGAGGAAAGGAGGGCTATATGGAGATATTGCAGGGCGAGTCGACCATGTCGCCGTGGAATGTTACTGGGAGTTGGCGGCTATTGAGTCGAGAAGTTATATTCGTCTTCTTCGTCAATTTTGGTCAATGGTTCGCTGCTCCCGCAACCTCTGGTACATGTCGAATCTCCTTTCGTTCCGTCCTCTTTCTTTAGTCTTGCATTCCTTCTGTTTCAAGCGCTTGTTGCCCTATACCTGGATGGACGTAGCGCCTGTAGAACATGAGTAGGTTAGACCATGGCTCCGTTGACATTCAGGGGAGAAATATGGCGATGTCAAGTCGTAGGCTAGGTCAAGTGGGCGTGTGGTCTCTGGAGAGTGCGTGAAGTACTGCATCTGCTGCCTCTCAAAGCCCGCCTTGTTTAATGTTTGCTAATTACGTAATACACTTGGTGCGCGTACTTTCACTGTCAATCTTGTCCCGAAACTAGCCGCCACGCGCACCCACCGCTCGCTGTCAAGTTCAACCCCGATCATGTGCGGAACCGGGAGACTTATAACTTGATCAACGTCAAGATACTAAGTTCATGAGGTTGTTCCAAAGCATCGCGGGTCTCGCGGGTCTCGTCTGTAGCGCTCTCATCGAAGTACCGTTTGGCGTTTCCACTCTCCACAATACTCCAAGAGTGGACACCATCCTGGGTGGGTGGGGGAGGAGGAGGGGCGGTGGTGGATGGCATGATCGCGAGAATGGCTTGATGTACGTGTTGGTGCGGATTCGGAAGATACGACTGTTTTGGTTGGTAGGTTCGTCGCTGTTCCTGTTCTCACACCACTAATACATGTATCTCCACGCAACAAGCAGAGATTCGATTTCCTCTCGCCTCTGCCAGACTAGAAACTCTCAATACCCTGGTATACGAGGATGCTTCCCTTTGACAGTACAGCAGACTCATCTATCAGCGCAATACTCGCGTACATCCTTCTCCTGAAAATGTGAACAGGAAAGTAGGTCAGGGGAGGTAGTTAAGAGAAGCAATAGTGTGACAGAGGAGGTGGACGCAAGAGATGATGTGCAAAGATTGCATGAGGTCAGTTTTGATACGGGCGGTAGGACGGCGGTGGTTAGCTATAGGGTTGAGCAAGTTTGATGACGCCTTCAGAGCGTGCATTCACTCCACACTCCACGCCCTTGAACAGTTGCCACTCGCCGCGTATGCCTTCTTATCAACACTTGTATCCACTTGTTTAGGCGCACTCAAGACTATGACGAAGCGCTTGGTGTGTTTACTCCTGACTTCTCTCGCTTGGAGTAATGCAATGCTCAACCAAATTCACACCCATACCCCGAGAAACGAAATCCGTGTGTCACTTCAGCCATGAAGATTGCTACACTACTTCTTACCGTGATATGTGTACCACTGGTCTACAGCAAGCATGCCGAAGTCCCCTTCGGCTCCTCCAACTCCACAGCTTTCACACCAGGCCTTCTAGATCGTCGCGATAGCGCAGTGAGCATCCCATCTACCAACGACAAAGCCTCCGCCTCCGAGCCGAATCTAGTCCAGACTGCTGTGGACTTCGACCCCACCGAATACGCGAACGATGCCAGCTGGGACAAGTACAAGAAGAAAGGCAATTGGCTGCATTGCCTCATGGAAATGCCAGACGAGGTCGCCGGCCGAAACTGGCCCAACTACCTGGATCGCAATCCGCCATCAGCGGCAAGCCAGTGGAAGGGAACGCTTGAAGGCAGGTTCTATCCATTCCATCATCATCCTTACGCAGCCATTGACACTGACATGCATCCAGCCGAGCTAAGGGATTGGTACTGGCACGAAGCCTACTATGACCCGGAAATCAACTGCGACTTTTCGGACGACTTCGCAAACTTAGAGATAAACAACAGAATAGAGGCTGCGCTGAATGAACTCGGATTGGATACCAAGCCGGTGGAATTTGGTGGCAAGAACAAGTGTTACTCTATCGAGCATATGGAAGAGGACGCGGTGGATGATGATGGTTATGAGCTCCCGGTAGACATGCAGACTTACTTCCCTGACGACGACGACGACAAAGAGTATGGCGTGAGTATTCTAGGAAGAGAGATACGCCGAACATTGACAGTTTGGCTGACTATACGTAGGCCACTGGAGCTTACTACCGCTTCGCTTTTAATGCTGAACAAGGAGGTAAGACATCCTTCCACCCATCTTCACTCACCACCGCCACCCACTAACGTCACTCTCAAGCAATCTACGGCCACAACTTCCTCGCCCCCTGGCCCGCCGCCATGGATACTTACGCCGAAGGCTTCCCAGCGGACCAACTCCCTCTCCTCCGCCAAGCCTCCGACATCATGGCCGCCTTCTGGCTGCGCAACCCCAACCCCAAAAACCTAAAATACTGGTTCGGTAGCAACATCATCAACGCCGAAACCGTACCCGTCGTCAACCGGATTCTCGTAAGCAAGGGCTATAAAGAGGTACCGGAATGGCCAGGTGTCCAAGTAGACGATTCCAGTGAGGAGTATCTCGCACTCCTAGGCACACCCGTCGGCGCAAATAAAGCGTTTATGCTGCTCCAACACAAGGCGGAATTGGGGTTAAAACATATTCCCAGTATTACGATTTTCCGGGATACAAAGGATCCCAGTCGCCCGGACGATGCGCCGGCATACCAGCTCTTGTTTCGCATTGAAGATGTACCGCAGGATGAGGTTATGCCTGATGATACGGAGATTGTGGATCAGGAGATGACGGGTTCTGCGTCCCGGATGAGGAGAGGGCAGAGGAAGGATAGTTTGGTAGAGCTGGATTTGGGGAAGAACGTTGGGAGGTTGCATAGGGTTAGTATAGATGGGCGGGGGGAGACGATGTTGCAGAGCCATGAGTTTGAGCGGGAGTTGTGATGGGGTTGTCTTGCTGGCTTGTTGTGTTGGTTACCTAGGTAGGCCTTGGTGAGCAGCTGGATGTCGTTAGATTACGAATGAAGAGCATGTAACTGCAAATGCAGATAGATCGCGACCGCATTCGCGCATAACATGCGAATTGGTATAGCGCGGAAAGTAGACGCAGACCAAACTCGCTAGTCTCGCTATTGCATCTCGTCTCCATAGTGCCTTCGTTACAGCAACCAGGATACTCAACTCAACATCTGAAGAGCCTGCTAGCCGCAAGCCACACTGCATGCATCTCTCCAGTCCCTGAAAACCTGGTATCTGAATCAGACGCCAGCACATCATACGTAGCAAAGAAGTAGCGGTGGATCCCGCCGCCAAGTGACAGCCTCACATTCGCATCGGCGGTCGATTGGTCTGGGTGTCTTGCCGTAGCGCAGCGTGCGCAGCCAGACCCTGACAGCGGGTCCCAGGGCCGGAACTTTATCATGGCCAGGTAGCATCTGTCGTCTCCACATACGAGTCGAGCGCGCATGCGTAGGCGTGTGTCATGTCGATGTCGGAGAGATGGGATGGTTGGGAGAACTGGGTGGCTGATGCAGGGAGGTGTTAGCGCTACTGGCTAGCGTGGTCTAGTCCGCCCCGAAATAGGAGCATGCGTGCCGCTGTCTTTTTTCTTTTTTCTAACACGAAAGTAACAGCTCGGACTCGTATTTTCCTGTTTGCGAAACGGAGCTGTCGCTTCAGACCATGATGTATCTTCTTGTTTGCGCGCTCGTCTCGTGATGATCTGAATGCAATGCGCCACACTGTCTCTTCAGCACGCGCCACACCATCTCCCCAGTACGCCACACTATCCCCGCGGGGGATACTTGGCGCATCCTCGAAGAAACAGCGCAGACGCAAACCTGACCAAACACGAGCAGCATGACCCATACACGATGTTCAATTCCTGTTAGTTAATAGGTTTGCGAGTAGAAGATCAGAGTGTCTAGGTACATTCTTTACTGTCAGACGCGATAGGAGGTAGATTTGTGCGGTGAGTATACAGAAGTTGACTTTAGAGAGGAAGAATATCAACAAAACTAAAGCAATAGAATCTCATTACCCGATGTTAGACATCTAATGCATGTTCATACAAAGATCGTCACGTCAACTGATCCTTGATACCATCCCAATCAACGCCGCTCTCCTTCAACAACGCCTCAATCGTCCCAAGATCTTCCTTCGCCTTCGAAAGCGTCCTGCCAATCGACCCACGAACCTCGCGGTCTTCGCTGTGGTCCAGGCTCGCCTGCTCCACTCCCAATCGCTTCAGATCATTACCGATGGCCTGGAACAACGACTCAATCTTCTCCTCCAAGTACTCCTTGATGACCTGCTTTTGACAGTCGATGGCTTTTGTCAGTTTTACACAAATCGCGTGGTATGGCGTTGTATCTTCGTCGCGAAGCAGTCTCTTGAACGTTCTATGTTGCATGACCTTTCGTGTCTCCTCCTTTTTGTTTCCTCGCCTGGTCGCTTTGCTCTTGTTGTATACATCGATCATGGCGTACCCGAAGTAGGAGATATCGTCAGTGTCAGTAAGACAGCGTAATCTCTGCTTCCTACGGTCGAAGTCAGCAAAAGAAGTGGGGCGTCCGCTCGCCGAGTACCTACTCGATGAACGTTCTCAGATTGGTAATGCACTTGGTTTTTATCGTGGTAACAGGTGCAAATTTCATGTAGATGCTGTTGAGGAGTAGGTTCAGCTCAGCAGGTCTAGACTCTGCATACTGCTCTTCATATCGTTAGCTAGGGAGTCAAGTTTCGTAAAGGCAACTCACTGCGAATGTCCTCGGCTAGCTTCCCCATTGCTGACAGAATTTCTCGTTTCACTGGTTCGATACTATTCCATAGAGCTTCATGGATGTTCTGAAAAATCGGGTTGAGGCTCATGCGGTGCTGCTCGAGCAACTGATAGTTCTAACTAGGCTTGCCCTTTCTAGGCTTTTTGTAATTGCCTTAAACGCCATCAGTCGAACTTTCTATAGATAAGAAGGTGTCTATTACCTAGGTTGCCGACAAATGTTTTGTGCGTATTATGATGCCACTATAAGCGTTAGCACGTATCTCTAAGATATTTTTAAATCCCACCTAAAGCCACACTTCGCACAGTTCCTTAGCACGTTCGATAAATGCAGGTAGCCGCGTACGCAAGGTGACTAGTAAGGGCTTTTCGATTCAATCCCTGAATACATCGTCGATGCATTAATGGACCTTCTTTACACATGTCTGGGACAGTATTAGTTTGGCTTTCGTAGCACTCTAAACCACTTACACTACTTAGATTTTCGACTCTACCTTCGATTTTAATTTAGAACACATCGGTTTGTTTGTTAATCCCTATCTGCATGCTAAGCATAAGACCTGGCAATGTTGCGCCCACATAGCGGACTAGCTCTTCTACTCGCATGGGCGAGCATAACGAGATAAGATGTTGCTTCAATGCAGGTATCTCCGTATCCTTGGGGCTGAGAGGAAGAAGGGCGGAATCGTGAGCAGCAATCCCCCTAATGTTACGCTGATAGTCGAAAGCGGACACACAAAACACTGCGTGAGGACGGCCTTTGCCCCGTGTTTCTGCCATAAGCCTTTCCTTCACGCGCCGGCTGCGTTCCTCAGCAAGCAATTGCGCAATGCTATGTTCCAATCAGTATCATTATTGCTCGAATCCTCAGGCACTACACGTACGCTTTCTTGATATGTTTTTGCTTCAACTGGTTGCGTAGTATAGCTTCAGCGGCGGAAGAGCTCAACTCTTCGTTCTCAAGCTGTTTGAGTTTCTCGTGAAGCCTCATATACGTATGCTTCTCGCCTGGGCTGAGCTTAGTGTGCCTGCTGGGAATCGAGCCGACGTCCTATCTTGGAGTCAGCAAGAGCGTCCCGATAGATCGATTCCTCGTACCTCGGAGAATGTAGCGACTACTGTCACGGGACGGTGATGCTGGATCTTCTCAATCTGATTGGGGAGGCTGTCGTCAGATATGATGCGAGTAATGTTGCACGCTATTATGACGGACGAACAAGACGGTAGGTAGTCGTCCACGCTGGCACGCGCAAGTCGATTCAAGTCATTCCGACCCGGCGTGTCGGCGATGACAATGTGCTCGCTCAGGGCAAAGGGGCCACCAATTTTAACAACTTCGACAAAGGGCCAAGCGTCGCAACCTCCTCTCGAGTCATCAGCCAAGCAACCATGCGTAAATCGAGCAAGCTCATGCCACAGTTCTTCAGTAGTTCTTTTGTACATAGCTGTATCCTAACAATCAAGCTCATCATACATGTCGCGAGCGCGACTAACAAGTCAATCTCGTATATCATGTCGCACAGGTGCCCGTTCACTACTCAACAGGTAGTCCTTCATAGTCTCTTCGTCCTCAAAACTAGGGTCTCCACAGAAGAGTGCTTAGAAAACCCCTGTAGCTGTTTCCGTATCTGCCCCTAGAGAATCTGGGCCTGCGGGATCTAGGCTTTAATCTCCTTCATCTTCATGCTCGCTCTCGTCTTCATGTAACAAAAGCCCGTAGTTCCAGTGTTCGAAGTACGTCTCGATCCGCTTCTGTACAGATTCCCACAGAAGAAGAGAGATAATAGCGCGGTACTTAAAGCGTGAATCGTGATCAGCCCAGTGATAGTACTCCAGAATCACTCTAGTCAGGCTCTCGCCACTCTTTGCAGTTTGAACAACACCCTCGTCGCCTAACAGACTTCCGATAAGGCAAGATTTGCCTTGCCCAGTCTCGCCTACAATGCCAATTCGCATCGGCCCGCTGATGTAGGGTGAAACATATTTTTCTGCTTCCTCAGCCAGTGGATCCCATGTATCGTGCCAGTGATTCTTTCCAAGATTAATAGCAGCGATCAAAGAGGCGATAGTCTTCCCTAACTGTACCTCTGCCTCCTTGTATCTTGGGTCATGGAGGGCGACGCCTTCTGATCTGTGATCAGAATGGGGATCGTGTCTGTTACCGCATCCTTGAGTCAACAGCGTCGAGAGTTGTTCGTTGTTTTCGATCAATTTGAGGACGTCGATCGGTGAAGCGGATGAAAGATTCGGCTGCTGGGCCGACGCAGCTCTTGACTGATCGACATGGGCTCGACCATTGGTGATTCCGATCGATTCGCGGACTTGCTCACCCTCAATCGAGAAGTCTGAGTGTGTCTGGCATGGAAGGGACGGTCGGGGAGGAGGCGTATGTGTAGTATGTCTCGCCACAGAGCGCTGTCGTGCTAGTGATCTCGATGCTGGGCTGGCATATCGGTGTGTTGACGAAGTAGTGGATGTTTGGGGGGTCAATCTCGATCGATACAATGAACTCGCACTTGTTGCTTCTGTAAAGGCTGAAGCGCGTGACCGAGCACTCATAGAAGAGCGAGGTTGTACTGAAGATTCCGCCGTCGATTGTTCCTCCATGAGACGATTGGAAGTTACTTCTCCAATACGAGATGTCTCCCGTGGAGGGAGTGGTAGAGGGGAGCGCGAACGGCGCTGCGTGACCGATCGAGATCGAGAACGATCGGTGTCGTCTCGTTCTGGACGCTGAGAGGGGCGGTATCGCGAGTTATGATCACGATCCATATCGTGTAGCAGGACCAACGAACTGAGACGTATGCATCAAAATGAATAACAAGACATCTTGGTGACAGAGAAGTAATGTTACGATATCGTCTGTTCAGAATCCCGATGCACAAGGTAGGAGAGCATCCACAAAGTTGCTTTGAAGTAACGCGCAGTAGTAGAAAGAGCTCTGTTGCTGAAGACTAAACTTCGATGAGAGTCGACTAACCCAACGCTGACGGGAATCTGGCCACAGGAAAGACTCCGGTTAAGTACTGGAGCGTGGGATCCCCTCGCACCCCCGATCAAACATGGAACCCTGCCATGTTGCCCAGGCGAATCACCCAGGTAGTGTATGGAAGACCAGGCGTGTCCATTGCACTGTCCTCATGCAGCCACCCGTGCCAGATGTCACACTGTCGCAGTTCTGGAACGAGACGACAAGTAAGAGCGGTGAAATCTGCTCTTCTCCATTGGTGACCCATATGCACTGTCCATGGGAGTGATGCGGTCTCTGCACATAGCATGGAGCTGCGGGTCGCCATCGCGATAGTGATCATAGTGCGTGATGACAGGGTGACGGGAACCCGTTATGTGATTGTGGGGGCATGTAGGTATCAGGTTGGTAAAGTAGCGAACCTTGGAAGTGTTTGTGGCTGGAGGCGACCTGCCATGTGACATGTCCCCAGAGTTCGACGGGAACTAACTGCTTAGCGTAGCATACCAGGCAGGCGTCGCCCTGTCAAGCTGGTACTGGATACTGTGGAAGATTCCAGGGCTCTGGAGCCGGGATCGCCCGGAGAAGCCCCTCAAGACCTGGCAGTGGGGCAAAGACATCGAAGCATGGACGGACTATCTGCCCATTGCAATGGAAACGCGCAGGTACAGGTTTGAGTGACCTACCTATTTTCAACATGCGTTTAGAACTTGCTGCTGTGTGTTGTTCCCTGCGGTAATAGTCACGTAAACTTAGCTACCTAGGTACCTAGGTAGCATACACTAGGACACAATAACGCGACACTACTAGTTGCAACCCCTCAGAATAACTGCCTAGTCAGTTTGACCTTGGACTCTAATCAGTAAAGTCTTTGAAGCAAGCAAACGCGTATTATTCCCCATTACACGATGCCTAAAGTCGCGAGCATCGACAACAGCGGGGTCCAGACGCGTCGCGTGTGCCTGCACCCAGCTTCCAACGGAGGGTGACCGGCCATGCCGTAAGGCCTGGCGATGGCTTGCATGCGCGAAGTCGATGTTTCACAGCCTTGTATTGGAAGATCCACACGGGGAGCCGGCATGGCTGGTAAGAAACAGGCTGGAGGGTGTATTCGGCTTGGAGGCTACCCTTTTGAGCCTAGTAGCTGCCTAGATCGGTCTAGCGCTGATTAAGAACACGTGATTCTAGGAAGAGAAGATAGTACCTTGATTTTGGTACCTAACGGCTTTTACTTTTGTACACAGCCTTCCTCTATTTCTTGCTCCACTCCATCTTTGCTTTTTCTGTCCCTATCTACTCGACATAAAACACCTCCTCCGTCTGTTCCCACCACCCGGGCCCCGTCGCGCTGCCTTTCGCGCCCTTCACAGGACTCTCTTGCATCTTATCCGTCATCTTCCACCATTTCTGCACGACCTTGTTCTCCGCCATGCGCGCCATGTCCTCGTCAAAGTTTTCGCCGACGTATTTGAAGGACGCGAAGAGCATGGGGCGGGGGAAGAGGTTCATGTATATCGAGTCTGGAGGAATGAGCGTCAGCGATCTCCCAGGTCACAAACTAACAAAAGGTTAGGGAAGAGGAGGGAAAACGTACAGTCCTTGATATTCGAGTCCTTGATCTGCTCCAGCACCTCCGGCCAGACTTCCGCATGGCATTTCTTGTATTCCTGCACACATTCCGGTTTTAACCAAAGCCACTGCCCTATTCTGCGTGGACCTTGGTCTTTCTTATCGAGCGCATCCGGGTCTTCTCCGTTCTTGATCGCCATTTCACGGGCTACTTTGCGGCGAGTTTGTTCTTCGTTTGCGAGTCCACCCGATAGAGCGAGGACGGGGTCTGTGATAGCCTGCCACATTGGCATTGTGGAAGTTGTATTAGGGCGTCTGGTTGTTGGTGTGACGGGAAGGGGGTTGGAGTATTTGATGGTTTGGGTGGTGGTGTTGTTGTAGCGGGGAAATTCGTAGAGCTATAGCTTTGGAGGGGTAATTGTCCGTCTTAGCTATCTTCTCCTATTGACGGGCCGTCGCGTTCATTTATGTGAGCGCGTCTTGGTCGGAACATCATGTGCCGAGGGGCAAAGCTTGGTGGAGCTTGTACGGCCCGGCGTGTGTGGCAGTGAACATGTCAGTGTGGGGTACAAAGCTGTACGCCTAATCAGGTATGACGGTGTTTTTGAGATGGCTTGTGAGATGGAACGAGGCTCTTGCGGCTCAGGGCTTGGCTGTGAGGCAGAATTGTGGGCAAGACTGGATGCCTGGATGATTTGTGGAGAGGAAGTAGATCATGGGATGGAAGCTTGAGTGGAGCTTTGATGGCTGGGTTGTGGCAGTGACGATGCCGCGTGGGGCAGGTGCGCTAGAACTTCAACCGTTCGGGGATGGGTGACCAGAGAGCTGCACCAACGTCCGGAAAACACCATATCAACCTTCGCAACGAGATCAATGCATCAAAGTACCAGTTTCACGGTAGATCATGATGTAAGGATGCGACAGCGAATGCCAGACGATGCAGCAATTGCTGGACTACAATGAGAGGTGAGTGCGACGGCGGTCGCGACGACACGTGTATCTCCATTGAGGCCTACACTATGACTTATCCTGGTATTTGGTAAGCTGTCAAAGTAATTTATTCCTCCAGCAGATATCGGGGTTCGAGATTCATACGACCCGGACCGTCTTGGATGTCGTCGTTCGCACCTGCCACTTTCGCATTCCCTTCCAGCGTTTCTTCCTTTGCCGACGTCATCTCGATAGACTGGTTTCTGAAGTCACCCGTCTCTTCTTCGGATGCTTTGAGTTCTGCAATTGCTCAACTGTCACATCGACAAATATTTACAGGCAGCAAAGAAGGTCGGTGTCCCATCGGTGATGTCATCAAAGTCTTTCGCAAGACGAAAGCGGTGAAGATGCTGCGAGAACTTTTGACCAGACTTGAGGGTGAGCCCGGAGGTGGTCAGTCCGTTTCAAGGCTTCTTTGAGGTTTGCCGTTAGTCGTTCTCGTCTCCATGCACGGCGTCGCCGGTGGCCATCTTTCACCTCGACATCGACGTCTACGCCTCACTGCCTCCTCATTCGCGCATCGCAAACCCAAAACCTGATGTCTTCTGAAATACTGAGATCGAAAGTGAAGGAGAAGAAGCGTTAGTCAGCTCCTCGCTTGGCGCACTGTGGGAGTCAATATCCGCCTTTACCTGCGTTTGTTTCTCCACCTACACCAGTCTCACGCTTCCACCTTTATACGCGCGAACTTCTCAATTCAGTAGCTTCACATCTATCAGCTTTCGCTCGTTCTCCTTCTGGAGACGTTCTTTATCCATGTCTCTGCCATTTCACCCCGATCCGCAGACACCGTCTATGTACATGCGACTGTCTCCGCCACCACTCAATCGCCTGTCTACCCCTCCTCCTCTCCTGTTAGACACCGCTATGGCTAGCCGACCCGTATACCCGCCTTCTGGAGGTCAAGAAACCCCTCGCAGCGAAGTGGATTTCGACTTAGGTACGTGACCCCACCGTTTGACCCATTCTCACTGACGCAGCGTCCAGCCCTTCAGCTCCAAGAGCTCGAGATCAACACCCTCAAGGACACCATCGCCATGCATGTTGAGGCGACCAAAGACCTCCGCGACACCATCGCCATCCAAAAGGAAGCGACTCAAGACTTTCGCGACGTCATCAAGGACCTTCGGGAACGCAATGGCGACCTTCAAGAGCGCAACGGCGACCTTCAAGAGCGCCACAGCGACCTCTCTGCCAAGAACGCGGCCCACGTCGACCAGCGAAACGAGCTTCAAGAGACCAAGATTGAACTGGCAGAGCTTCGGGACGACTATCATGAAGCTCGCGACAACTGGAACCGCAGCGAAGAGCTTGTTGGTGAGCTGAACGACAAGGTCAATGAACAAGACGATATCATCAAGGACCTTCGACAGCAATACTCAAGCTTAAGCACCACCTACCAAAAGCATAGTCTCTATGTATCTCGGGTCTCTGCAGCGTACAAGGCCGAGAGTACGGCGCTCCGGAAACTCAAGAACGAGCATGAGGAGCTTCAGGCCACCCTCACGACCAAGACTGGCGAGCTTAGCGCTGCTATGAACGACCTCTCTGCCGCATACGAGGCCAAGGAAGCAGAGCTGGAAGAGCTGAAGGATGAACTGCAAGAGCTTCGCGACCACTACGAGGATTACGAAGAGCGTATGGAAGGGCTGACGACTAAGACCAATGAGCAAGACGAGACTATCGCTACGCTCAACACGAAGGTCAAGCAGGGTGAAGTTGACATCGCGAAGCAGCAGGGAGAGGCAGAGGCCAATGTCAAGCAGCGTGATGACACCATCGCGGAATTGGAGAAGCGACTTGCCAAGGCCAAGAAGAGTGCAGCTGTCAACGGGCTTCAAGATCAGGCCAAGAAAGCCGAGCTACAAGAGCTCAAAGACGAGCTGAAAGTGCTTCGCGACGACCTCAAGGGCGACGTGCAGCTCATGCATGGGCTGGAAAACCAGGTCAAGCAGCGAGACGAGACTATCGTTGAGCTAAACGCCAAGGCTGCGCAGCAGGACAACGCTCTCGCCTGGTCTGACCAGCAGATCCACGAACAATATGACACCATCACGGACATGAAGAGGAAACATGCCGAGGTCGAGATGAGTGAACACGCCAACTCGCTTGAAGTTGAGCACAAGGAAGCAGAGCTGAAGGAGCTTCGTGAGGGGTGTGAGGGTGACAAGAAGACTATCGCTGAGCTGAACACCAAGGTCAAGCAGCGGGATACCGCTCTTGCGCATTCCAAGGGGCAGTTACGTGGACGAATTGATGAGATCGATGAGTTCATGGAGCAGCTACGACGCAAGGGCTTTGTCAAAGATAACTTGTATGGAGTGCTCGACCTCTTCTGAGGCATAGGGTTGAAACAGGACCGAGTCGGATGTATCTGAAGATACTTGAAAGAGTATGTGCAGACTGAGACAAGACGATTCGAGGAACGAAAAAACTGTAAAATAACTGGTATCAAAATGAGCTATAGAGCCACCGACACACCCATGTGTCCTCCACTGAATAAACCAAATGAACCCAATAGATTCGGCTACCCTCCATGTATCCCGTCTTTCGTGGCATTCCGAAAGACGTGAATGCAGCTAAGCCTTCTGCTAAAACTCTTTCCCATACTAGTACACTGACGTCGGCGTCACACCATGCCTCACTACCCTCACATCTCTACAACGGCTGGTAATCTGTGCTGGTGTCACCAACCCATCCGTACCACAGCGCAACCACCGTATTCGCCGCAACCCAGACACCCGCGTAACCAACAGCACCGACAACATCGGTACCAATGAGCGTCATACACCGTTGAACGGTACCAGCAAACAAGAACGCATTCAGAATAACCGTCTGCTGAATAAGCGTCCTCGTCCTCTTACTGTAGTTGAAGAAGTTATGCTCAATAGTCTTAGGAAGAGTCGCAGTACTAGGATCGAAAACCTCAACCGGCGTCGCCACCCCACTCCTCTGCGCCGCAAAGCTCGGATTAAGCAAAAACGCCTTCGCCGCCCACCCCACCACAATAGTCTTCGCCAGAATAGTCACCGGAGACTCATTGTGCGCCGCTTCCAGCGTAGGAATATCAAAGTACTGGACCAAGAACGTGTTCAGGAACCCGCTTGTCTGACCCGCCCACAGCACGACAATGTACACGGCGATGGCGAGCATGGACGACGAGACCTGCACTTGGATGCTGTTGAGCAGGAAGCGGTTGCGCAGGGGCTCGTTGTTGCGGTGGACGATGGAGCGGGGGCGCAGGAGGTATGTGGGTATGGCGAAGGAGAGGACTTCGATGGTTATGTTGGCGGCGGCGGTGAGGGCGCTGATCTCGTAGTACGTGGTTAGGAGGTAGGTGAAGGGCGCGTAGGTTAGGACCGTTAGGGCGGATACGTCGAAGACTATACAAACTGTTAGCAATGCATTCCCATCACCTCTCAATAATGTGATTGTGATTTCGGCGCGTCTTACAGTCATAGTTAAAATACCACGTCATCCACACAGTAACCCAGCGCATCGCGACGCGCGCCGCCGGCGAGTAAAACGACGTGACATCGTCCTCCTGTGGCACTTTACTCACAGCACCCAGTTCCGGACGCAGGAGATTCGCCGTAAACTCCCACAGCAGCATGTTGATGCCCATGTTCAAGCTGATGAGAATGGGCACGCGCAGCGCCGTGGGCAGACGCGAGCGCGCGGGTGCGCGTTTGGGTGCTGGGACGACATCGGGCGCGGTGCGCTCGATGGTTACGGCGGGTGGTGCCATTTGTCGCGTTGAGGTTGTGAGTTGTGGATTGGGGGAAGGTGGTGATGGGAGTGACGGGGAGGGTAAAAAGAAAGTTTGAGGTTGTGCGCGCAGGGCTGGGATGGGGTGGGCGCGCTGGCCGTGGGGATGGGGGATGAAGCTTGTGTTGGAGCTAGTACGAGATCTTTGTTTTGGACCTGCGTCATTGCGCGACGGGCAAAATAGTGAACCAAGTCCGTGCGCGAGGCAATCTCGAACATACCTAGGTATTAAATGATATTTGTACTGCGAAGAGGTGAATCAATTACTCGATGACTACACATCTAGCAATGGAGTATCATGCGAAGATCCACGGCTCATGGTACTCAGCGTCGCAATCGAAAAACAACGCGACACCATGGTTAGCTGTGGACGAGATGAAATACAACCATGGAAGGCTTTCATTAGGATATCCGCGATCCTCCACTGCGTCATCTAAACAAGATACCTAAAATCACCCATCTGCTTCCTCCCCTCCTCAACACTAACCCCCTCCACCGCCGCCGTCTGCTCCGCAACATCCCCATGCACAACCCACGCATCAGTCCCATCATCCAACCGCTTATTCAACCTCACCAAAATAACCCTGAAAACAAAGCACCCCGCAATCGTAACCCCAAACATCGCCGTAACAACCCCATAACTGTTCCTATACCCATTATCCGACATATTCCACACATAACTCCCAGCAATGTTGCCGAGCTGCGAGAACGCGTTGATCATGGCGATGGCGACGGCGCGCTTGGCGGGTGGACGCGGGAACGAGGACGAGATCCAGGAGTAGAAGACGATGAAGCCGGCGTAGGAGGAGGCTTGCAGGAAGAGGGCGACGTAGCGACCTGCGGTGTTTGATGTGGCCATCGAGATGACGAATCCGACGATTCCCAGCATGATCGGGCAGACGATGTGCCAGAAACGTTCTTGCTGTCGATCCGCATGCCACGCGTTGATGAGCGAGACGACGCATGCGAAGGCCCACGGCGGCGCGGACATGAGCAGCGTGGTGATGTATCCGAAACCGAGGGTGCGTGTAAGCGTAGGGAAGAAGGCGTTGAACGAGAGTCCAACCACGTATGCCGTGAACGTGAGCATCATAACATAGATCTTGAGGTCCTTGACCGCCATGAAGAAGCCCGCGAAAGCAGATTGCTCAGCCGAATCCTCATCTGCTTCACCGACATCCTCAGTCATGCGCAGGACGGCTACGGCGCGCTCTTCCTCGGTGAAACCTTTCGAGTTGTGCGGGAGATCGGGGAGGATGAAGATGGCGGAGATGGCGATGAGCATCGTTGCTGCGCCCTCAATCCAGTACAGCCATCTCCAGGCCCGGTGGCCGAGCGTGCCTTCCATGTTTCCTAATACCGCGGCGCCGACTAGAGAGGAGAAGGCGTTTGAGATCAGGTTACCGCAGAAGAGGATTGCGTTTCGTAGCGTGAGTTCACGGCGCGTGTACCATTTCGAAAGGATAAGCAGCGCACCAGGTAGGAAGGCGGCTTCGACGAAACCAATGAAGAAACGGATAGCGACCATGCCGGCGAAGTTGGTCACGTTTCCGGATAAAGTAGAGATCATGCCCCAGATAAGCATAACAACAGCGATGTACAGCGAGGGACGCGGAATCTTGTTGATGATCATATTGGATGGGACCTGCATTAAGATGTACCCCACGTAAAGAATAGACAGACATGTGCTGTATTGCGTGGGGCTGAGGTTGAGGTCTTCTTCCAGACCGCCCAGACGGGCGGCGGCGATGTTGTTGCGGTCGAGATCTGGACACACTCGTTAGTAACAAGTCCCTTGGTTGCGTAGGTGGTATGAAGGTGGTTACTCACAGTTCATAATATAAATCAACACAAAAAGCGAACATCTCGCATCCAACTTCCTCTTCAACTTCTTCTCCACCTCCGCCCTCCTCTCTGGACTCATATTCGCCGCAAGCCCACCAACTTTTGCCGCGTGATGGTGTTCGGAGATCTGTGCCGCATCGTGGGCGGAGATCTTGTCGTCCGCTGGGTACTGTGTCGACACCATCTTTACCAGAGGTCTTTCCAGACGGTCCCAATTGCCGAGCTGTTTCTCTTTCTCGGTTGGATTGGCAGACCGGAGGTAAACAGACGTTCTATGAGAGAAGTCTGGGGTCCCCTCTTAATATACACAAACAGCCCTGGAGGTCGGCTCCTCCGACTTTGCGGTTACTCCAGATTTTTGTGGTAACCTTACCCCACTATACGGAGCTTGGCCTGTCTAGCATGCAGGTAGTTCGCCGTCAACCAAATACCGTTGCATCCTCCGCCCATCCTACCCCGACCACTTAGGGACGATGTGCATGACGCCCCAGTCATCCTTCAGAGTTTTCTGGTGGTAGCTCGTGTGTGTTGATTAGTCTGCGCGCACGATTCGTGTGGCGATGCAGGCGATGGGAAACCAGCGGCGATTTGTGCCTGCGAAAGAAGTCTTTCCCCGCATTAGCTCTTTCCTCCGTCCCTGGTCGTCTGGAGTCGTTGCCTAACATCCAATCCCATCCAATCTCATCAGTTAGCCGTACCGATGCTGATAATTGATTAGTAGGCCCAGGACTTGGCCCGCCTGTTTGGCGACACCTTAAGACATCCAAGAACACCAAGGACTGCGCGGGAGGCGGGCTTGATTGAGGTTTGCTGTGCCGGTACTGGTACTCGGCTTCTGGTAGGGGCTTGTTCAGAAGCCGATCGCGACGTCGCGTAAGTTTGTAATGGATTTGGATGGGCACGGGCAGGTAGGATCCGACAGCCGGCCGCGTTAATGTATGCCGAGGCGAAGCGAAGCGAAGGGAAGGCGCATGCGTCACTCCGACGAGGGAAGGGAAGGAACGGCTTGCGGGCACGGGACGGCGTTGAAGTTGGGGTCTTCAGCCGCATGCAAGACTCACGTCGCAATCGAAACCGCCGTCGCAGGCCGTATGAGAACAGAAACGCAGTGCTCTGAAGAGTCACGCACTACGCATTTCACCCTCTGCGATGTCGCACGCAATAGCGCAATCCGCCGCGTCCGCTACACGCCCAAAGCAACATCCTCCCCAGACCACCCACACAATCGCGGAGTCAACAAGCGGAGAAAGACGCACATCCTCATGTGACGCTGAGCCGCACGTTCACCGCCTTGATCCAACCATCGCGTACTTGCACCTGGAGATAGCACCGGTTCGCTGCGATTGTACGCTGTACGTAAACCGCCGACGAGCAGCTCCGCGGGTGAACTTCGGATCGGAGGTGGCTTTTGTGGGTCGGTTTTTGAGCGAGTTTGTAGATGCGGGTGCGGGTGAGTACATGGGTGGGTGAGGGATTAGTGATCGTACCGCCATAACATGATGATCATGGACTCTTGGTTTTCGATGTTTTGGAGGGGTTGGTGAGGTATTCAGACTGTTGGCACAGAACGATGACATGACTAGAGGGAACCGATATTTGTCGTGAAGTGCGGAGCGGGAAAGAGGAGGAGGAGCATGGGCATTCGGCCATGCCTTTTAGACAACGGTCATGTCGCCATCGACCTCGGTTTTCTCGTGTGTCAGGATCAAGGCATGCTGCCGGGTAA